CCGCCCCTGGTGTCCGGCCCCCGAGCCGGTGGGCTCGCGCGGGCCCTGGCCGCTGCAGACCCTGGCGGTCTCTCTGCAGGTCTCCGGGCCCCGCTCTGCCCCGGGCCCGTGAGTATATACAGGGGGGGGGACTGCCCTGCCCGGAGCTCCGCAGCCCTGCGGGGGAGGAAGGGTTCAGCGGCGCCCCGGGTAGGGCTCTGCAGCGAGATCCGGGGCTCTTGCTGGGGCTGTGGGGAGCGCTCCCCCGGTCACCCGGGGAGCACGCGGCCCCCGAGGGTGCGGGGAGCGGGGCAGCCCGGGCTGTGCCTTGCCGCAGTCCCCGTAGCACCGGGCCGTGGGGCCTCCCCTCGCTGCAGCTCCCGCTCCCTCCTCGGCGCTGTTGCAGGTCAGGCTGCGGCAAGCGTGGCCCGGCGCCGCCCCACAAGAAGAAGGGGAAACCGGAGCAGCTGAAGTCCTGGGGTGAGTTCCCGCCCCAGCGCCTGCGAGGAAACAATCGAGGCCGGGCGGATCAAGTGGGCCCCGACCAGCCCAGAGCAGCAGAACCCGGACCTCAATGCAGCTCCTACCTGGCCTGCACCTGTCTCCTGCTGGGCTTTGGGTGCCTCAGGCTCTCTGTAGCCAGAGAACAGGGTGGGTGAGGCACCTGGACTGGGAGAGAAGAGATATGGATCACGAGCCCCAAGGGCATGAGGAGGCAGGCTGGCCCCCAAAGCCTTCCACGCTTGGCTCATGGTAAGACCGTGGCAGAGGCGCAGGAGTAGCTATGGCATTGGCAGTGCCTGCTCCTCTGCAGCCCAAGCATGGCGATAGAAGGGGGGACCCTAAAAAGCAACCTCTGCTGCCTGCCTCTAGCGTCCCAGTTGCGAGACCAGGCTGGGGGCTCCAAATAGCATTGGACTTGTTGTGGCACAAGGCCTGTGAAGCCCCTGCTTCTCTTGAAGTCTCCTTGTTTGCTCTGTCAGGCGCCTCCAGGAAGGACTGTGAAGCCCACGGGGGAAAGCCCTTGCCGGATATCACAGAGGTACGGGCCCAGGCCCCTGGCCAGAGCTTGCTGCAGTGGATCTCAGCACAGCTGTGGTGCTCAGGCCCCTTGCCGTTCCTTCCTCCCCTTGGAAGGCTCCTGGGTGGCAGTGCCTGCAGCTGGCTGTCACGGAAGCCCAACATCCAGGGAGGGGGCTCTGGTGGGGAGGGACCTGTTCTGGCTCCTGCCCCCAGCAGTCTGGGTGCCCTGGCTACATCGGTGTCGTGCCCAGTCTTGGGAACCTAGCACCAGGGTCCCTGTGCCTGGATGAGTTCCTCTCCAGGACCCTCCAACATAACCTGTGCAGCAGGTTCTCCTCTCTGCACACCAGGGGTCTCTACGGACCCTCATAGAACCAAGTGTGCCCCTCCGCTGGGAGAGGAGGACGAGCTCTGGCTCCTGTGGGCTCGCCTCTGGGACCCGCTGTGATAAGGCCTGCCCTGGTCTCTGCCAGGAGGACGTCCTGCTCTGGCTGAAGGACTTCAACCCTCAGCACGTCAAGAGAGGCCAACCTGGGTTCAAGAGGTGGGTCTGATTGTCCGTACTGTGCCTGTGCTGGGAGCTTGGGGAGGCAGAGGCTTTCTAGCTGCAGGCAGCATCTCCCCCTGATCTTGCCAGGAGCACTGGACCATGGTCCCAGTACCCTGAGCTGCCCCCTGTGCTGGCTGGACACATGGGGAGCTGAGCCCCTGGGGGCAGCACATTTCACTGTAGAAGAGCTCAGGGCTGAACAAGGGGCTCCTGGCTGTGGGCAGAAGCTTTGGGGCTTTTGGGGGCTCCCTTTTCTCTCCTCCCTGTTTGGGACCAAAACAGCACTCTCCCCTCTGCTCTGGCCAGCAGCACTTGCTGCTAGCTGCAGCCCTCTGGCTCTTGGATGCAGCAGGACCCACAACCTTGTGCTTCCACTCCCAGCAACGTGCCTGTTGGCTTCAGCTGCCCAGAGCAGGCACAGTGCATGGTCCAGCCACTTGGCAACTGCACCAGGATCCTGGGCAACACCGACATGGGGAACAGCATGAGGGGCACGGTGTGGCCAAGGAGCCAGCTGGAGATGCCGGTAAAGCAGCGTCTGCTCGCATGGCTGGCCCTAAGGGAGGCCTGGGCACTCGTTCTTTCCCTGGGAGAGGTAGGGGTGAGGGGGAGGGTCTTGGGTGGGTCCTGGGTTGGCTAGGCTGTTTGCTCACCTTGCTGCTGGATGCAGGTCACTTGCTGTCTCCTTTCTCTGTCACCTTTAGTGGTGACCACTGCACAGCCATCCAGGGGGCTGCAGGGCTGAGGTACAGGGGGATGGATGGCAGGGTTAGGGCCTGGGAGTCCTGCTATCCCTGCGGTGCTTGGCTATGGGCAGGTCCATGTTCCAGCAGGCCCTGGGAGGAACCAGGTGTTGCTTCTGCAAACCATGTTGGGGTCTCAGGGCAGTGGTCCCCGTAGGAGGGTGTGGGCTTCATCTTCAACCCGGATCCTGGTGCACCGGGGGAGCTGGGTCTGTTGGGCTGCTGTTTCCTGAGCCCTGCCTCTTCTGAGATCTGCTCTTTCTGGCTTGCAGGCTCTGGAGAAAGTTCCTGAGGGAGAGCTGGGGCTGAGCAGTGGTGAGTGTGGGCAGGGGTGAGACTGGCATGCAGCTGCCTGGGGTGGGGGGTGTGAACCCCCAAACCTTGATCCATGCTTGCCTGGGGGTGTCAATGCTGAACTGTCCTGTTCTTGCAGGAATTGGGCCTCAGCACCTGCTGCAGCCCCAGCAACTGACTGCTCCCCATGCGGTGAAGGATGAGCAGGTTCGATACGCTGTTCCTATGGAAATGAGGTGAGCAGGAGCTGCTTGGGGCTGGGCCTGCACTGCTGTGATGGGAAGGGACGTTGGCATCTCATGCTCTGGATGTGCCTGTGTGCCGCAGCCTTGCTGCTGCATCTGACAAGGCCTTGGGTCATGTGGCTGCCCTGACCCCTGGATCAGGAATCCAACCTGCTTATCTCCCACCTGAGGGGCTGGTGGATGCATCCACAGTCTGACCCCGACTAGCTGCCATGAGAGGAAATTGCTTCTCCCATCCCCCTTGCTGCTCCCTGCCAGACTTGTCCCACCCTCAGCTTTCTAATTCTAGCCCATTGCCAGGCGCAGGCTGGTCCTCTTGCTCTTTACTTTGTGTTCACTCAAGCTACTGAGTGGGTGAAGGAAGGAGCTGCAGCAGGATCAGCCTAGCAGGGCACTACCTGGGGTGCAAGCATGTGGGACCTTGCAGAAGTGCCCGCAAGGTCTTGCCCAGCCTGCCCGTGGCTGCACCAAGCCCGGTTCTCCCTGACCTGCCTGGCACCTGACTTTCCTTTCCAGAGGCTCCTTCCTGGTGCTCATGCTGCGGGACTGCTACAAGGACCTGAGCTGGCTGGCTGTGATAGCCAAGACCTACGGAGATGTGGGGCTGCTGGTGACTGACTGCCTGCCACAGACACCCTACTTCTGGGCCATCCAACTCACAGAGGTGGGGGGGGAGGGGGGAGCTGTCTCGGGCTAGGGGCAGAAAGCCCTACTCCTGCTCCAAAAGAGCTTCTTTCAAAGCCCCCAACTGGGGCAACAGCCCCAGCCACGAGAGCTTGCGTGCGCTAAGGGACAGCAGTGCCTTTGCTGCTAGGCAGCATTCAGGTGTTGGGCAGGAGCCGGGTTACACAGGGCCTCTGCCTGAGAGTGGGCAAGCCAGAGCCAGGGCCCTAGTCCATGCTCCCACAGGCTCCCCCAGATCTGCACGCCCCCACCCCTTGCTGGCATGTGCTTGCTCCTAGTCTGTGATGCAGCAAAGCACTGAAGTGTGGGCCTAACTGGCTGAGGGCAATGACCTCCAACCCAAGGCCTGCTGAGTGTCTGTGGTACTGTCAGGGTAGGCACGTGCAGGGGCTTGCATTGCCCCGGGGGCAAAACTAGCAATCGTGGGGCTCAAGAAGGAAGGGTACCTACAGCCTTGGGGCTCTGGGGCAGACATAGGGGCCATGGGTGACAGTGTGTCCATGGCAGGAGCGTCACCTCCACATGCAGCAGTTGCTCGGGGCCCTGGCACAAGCAGAGGAGCAGCAGCCCTACCTGGCCAAGCAGAAGGTGAAGCGCGGGACCCGCTGCCTGGCCCAGTGTGTCCTGGGGGCTGACAGCAGAGCCTGGAACAGGTCTGGGAATGGATGCTCTGCGGGGCGGGCAACACTTTGCCCATGGGGCCAGGGGGCTCCTACCCCAAGGATGCCCTTGCTGCTACCCTGCTGGGCTCATGCTTTCACTGCCTTCATAGGTGCTGGGTGCTGGATAAGGTGGAGGACCTGGCCGTGGTTTTTTTTGTGGACTTTGGCCGCTCAGCCACCATCCCAGTGAGCTCTCTGCGGCAGCTGGACGAGGATGATTTCTGGGCCATCTGGCCATTGGCGCAGCCATTCATGTTCCAGAAAGGTACCTGCCTGAGGCGCCCAGGACAGGCAGGGGGTGGGTGCATCTGGGCTGGACAAGACGTGTGTGCTTCCCTCAGGGCCAAGATGTTGAAGCCTTGGCTTGTTAAGAGCCGCTCGTGTCTGTGCCTCCCCGGTGCCATCACCACCTCCGTGCACCTCTGGCTGGTCTCTGATGCTTCCAGTGGAGGCTGCCTGGGCAGGGAACACTTGGGGGCTGTTCAGTGGCCCAGGGGTGGCTGCCATCTCGCTATCGTGCCAGCTCTGTCCCCATGTCCACCTGCACCCTGGAGAGAAAGGCAGCCCCCCAACTCCCTTGAAGAACACTTTGATATATGGACAGGGCCCTTGCCCCACTAGCTTCCTCTCCCCTGCCTGGGGCTGAAGCAAGCTACCAGCTGTGCTCCTGCTGGGCAAAGTGGAGCCTGAGCAAAAAGCCATGCTCAGATGCCACCCTGGGAGGCCCCCAAGTGAAGGGCTGGGCTCGTTCTCCTGTGTGGGTGAGTGAACAGAGCAGAGCTGGGGTGGGAGGGAGCATGCAGCCACTTGCGTGGTGACTGGTCTGCGCTCCTGTGGGTCCAGATAACCCCCCTGTGCCATCTCTGCATCTGCACTGTGCCAAATGCTGAGGCCCGTCTGTTCTTGCAGCGATTCTGCCGCCGAGATGCATCGTCCAACAGGTGCTGAGAGGGGAGGTCGTCGGCCCCTCTCCAACAGAGGTAATGTATGATGCCAGGCACCTTTTTTGGGGTGTCTCTTCCCCTGAGTCAAGGCACCCTGCCCCTGTGCCCTCCAGGGGAGGATCTCCCTGTCTGGGGCCAGGCAGCTGCAAGGCAGGGAGCACCTGCCCTGCAGCTGCTGTGCCAAACTCCTTTGGCTCAGTAATAATTTTGCTTTTCACAGACCCCTGGGCTAGGCTGCAGCAGCAGCCAGTGCTTGTGTGACCTCCCTCAGTGCAGTGGGGGTGGCAGGGAGGGGTGAAGCAGTCTAGCTGAGGGGGCTAGACCTGGGGCATCCTCCTCCCTTGCTGATTCAACTTGCCTTCTTCGCAGCCTCACATCCTGCAGTTCGCTGTCTGCATAGGGGACACTAGTAGGCAGCTCCTGTTCAATCTGCAGTGATGCCCAGTCTTCCAGGCAGGTGCAGCCTCTGGAAAGAGAGACCGGAGCCCTGGCACCAGAAGGGAGCTCTGGGTGTGGGGGGAACTTGCTGTAACTCATGTTTCATTTAAAATAAATAAATAAAATTAATTTAAAGTCTCTGGGGTCTGTGTGTGCACTGGAGGGGCCCAGGGAGACATAGTCCTGCCTAGAGGTTCAGTGAGGCTCGCATAGCTTCAGGGCCATGGCAGCAGCTTGACCCACCGTTGGGCACATTGGAGTTCCCAGTGGGTCAGGGGACCCTGCTGTTACTTGAGGGAGTGCCTGCCCAGTCTGGATCCCTTGCTTGTATGTGGGGCAGGGCCCTGCCTCTCCCATCTGTTGTTAATCTAGAGGGGACACTCCTGCATTGAGCCCCCCACCTCACTGTGCGTGACCACCTACCAAGCTCCACATGCCTCCCTGGGGTGCCTCATATCCAGCAGACACCCCCCACCCCTCCCGGAGCACACCTACAAGCCTAGGGCTACCGCATCCACCGGCCAGGGGCTCTGGTCCATCTTCTACTAGGCCTGTGGGGCACAGGGCAGATGTAGAAGGTGCTTAACCCTCTGTGAAAACTGGGGATGCTTTCCTTAGCCTGAAACACCAGAAAGTAGCCTCCCTTGGTGGGCTGACTAAGGCATAACCCAGTCCCTCTCCCAGTCAGTCTAGCACGCTAGGAACAGTGGAGAGCTTTATTGGTTAAAGAGGGAAGACTTGGGGAAGGGTACAGGTTAGATAAAAAGCAAAGAACCACCATAGAGCAAACAGTGGGGCTAAGTAGCTGTTGAGCATGCATCTATATCACAGTAAACTATATGTCTAGGTGGGTTTCAGTTAAGTTACCCACAAGGATCACCCAGAGGCTGATTGGGCTTTCCTCTGGAGGCAGGCAGTTCATGGAGTCAGCCAGTTTCCGGAGCGATCCCCACCTCTCTCTGCCTGCTTAGTTACCAGCATGTTCCTCTCCTCCAAGAAGGGGCTCTTAAATAAACTTTCCTGACCACACCCTCCAGGTCCAATCAGGGCTAGTGTAGTTTGAGGCTAACCAACCAATTTAAAAAGCATCACTGGCCTACTCAGAGATGGACATCTCTGGGGCCACTACCCCTTTGCCACGAGGTCAGGTCACTAGGCAGAGCTGGTTGCTTGGCAACCGGAATGATAGACGGGTAATAAGCCTGATAGAGTTTGGGAGATACTGCGATGGCATTGTCACACTTCCTCCCCTCTCTCCCCACCTCCTCCTTTGGAAGCTGGGGCACATGGCTTCTCAGAGCCGTGGGTACAAGTACGGTTTGTCTGAAAGGGTTACCTTTCATACCCAAAGAGAACTCACGCAACACGTAAGACCAGTTATAACAACAATACACATATGACATTAAGGTATGTCGGGGTATCCCCGTGCCAGAGCACTCTGGGGTAGGCCTGAGTCCCTCTGACCTGTTACCCAGAGTCTCCTTGTGACAGAGGATCCACTCCCCGGTGGCTTTCCTTGATGTGGTCCGTGGTTTTCTGGACGTTCTGCTCAGTTGCCACTTGCAGGCGCTCCCCGAAGAAGCTGTCCAGTTTGCACCGGTCGGCTCACAACTGCTGCAGCACTTGGGCCTCTAGCTCCTCCTGCAACTTTTAGATTTGCTGCCTCAGGGTGTCCCCCTCTGCCCTGTGGGCTGTGGACTGCTGGTGCCAGTTTGGTACCCGCAGCAGGTGTTTCCTCACCTGCTGGGTCTCATCTTCCTGCTCCTGGAGCATCTGGCAACCAACAGGGGGTTGGTCCTGGTGCTCCTGTCCGAACTTTCCCCCATGGAGGTGGTTCTCAACTCCTCCCCGAGAGTCTCGGTTTCCTCTGCCACTGTCTAACAGGGCTCCTCCCTGGGGCAGTTCCTTGGCCTGATCTCAAAGCTATCACTTTTCTTAGCGGCCAGCTGGCTGTCACAGTTAGGGGAATTCTCTTCCTTCCTCCCTCCTGCCTCCACAGCCACCTGAGTTACCTTACTCTGGGTGGTTTCCCTACCTCCCACCTTCACCTTCCTGCTCTGTTGGCAAGTCACCACATTAATGCAGTAGGGTACTTCAAAGCTGTCCTGTGCCCCTTTCAGATATGCAAGCTCCATAACATCCCTCCTTACTAGTATGGGGACAGGGGCCTCTTCCAACACTCCAATGTCCGCTCAAGGGGGAGATGGGCAACCAGTACCTCGAATGGCCAGCACCCCACCCCTGCTATGGTAAGTTTTCCCCGGGAATATATCCCAAGGTGAAACGAGGTTAGCATTTATGAATGACACACTGGCCCCTGCGTCCAGTCCCCCAACGAGGGTTTTCCATCTAATTTTTATGTCAGTCCGGTGGGTAGCCATCACCTCCTCTGAGTTTGTAATCCTGTAGCACCAGGTACGCTCCTCAGCGTGGCTCTGGTCTCCCTCCTCACTGCTTACAGCTGGTGCCTGGCAGATAAAGTTAGTGGCATTGCTTGAAGTGGCCAACCTCCCTGCAATTAAAGAAACCCTTCTTTTTCAAATCGGGTGACTTGACTGAATCTGGGGCCACCCTATGCTCAGCAGGAGGCAGCCCACTTCCCTGTTTGGGGACTGGCCGTCCCCTTCCCCGCTTTGGGGAACCCTTTCTGTTCCTTCCCAACGTGGGGGGCCTTTGGTTCAGATCCTCTGTTTAGCAACGTCTGCTGAGCAATGTTAACAGCTTCCCTAGTGTTTTTGGGATTCCTGGCCCTGACTGGGTGTTTAATCTCTCTGGGGCACCTGAAATAATCTCACAGGGAACCTGGCCCTGCCGTGAGGCCAGGTCACTAGGCAGAGCTGGTTTCTTGGCAACTGGAGCAATAGACAGGTAATAAGCCTGACAGCAGTTTGGGGAGATACTGTGGTGGCATTTTATCACAGATGTTGCCCCCAAAGGGAGGTCTGGGGTGAGGGGCTGAGGCCCATTTAACTCCAGCATCAGAGTCTCAGGCCCTGAGCCTGGGCTGCAGGACAGGTCCCCACCAGGTGCCTCCTATCCCTGCAGGGGCAGTAGCTGCCATGTAGAGCAGGTGCATGAGCCAGCGACACAGCTGCCACCAGGCTCAGGCCTGGGACGGGACCATTTGCAGAGGGAAGACAGACCTGCTGCCAGCAGTGCAGCCCCAGCCTGTGAGCAGGGCCTACTGCTTGCTCTCAGTGGTGCTGGCCCAGGGGTGCAGCCAGGATACTCCAGCATTTCAAGGCACCTGCAGGCCTACCCTCCTTGCTTACCAGGACAGATGAGTGCTCCAGGTAGGCACAAGGCACCTGGCCCAGCACCAAGACACCTGGGCATAGTTCCTGCCATGAGCCACAACCCCTTGAACAGCACATGACAGCAGCCCAGCTCCTCCCCAGGGGCTGGCCACCTCCTTTATCTGGGCCCAGAGGATAAGGGGGATGGAAACACAGTAGGGCTGCTGCCACTTAAGATAACCAGCTTGCTGGAGGCTCCTTGCGTTTCAGCCGTCTTGCCTGGAGTCTGAGCCAGCAAATGCTGCCTGGGAGCTGCAGCCCCAGACTTCACAGGGGAAGAGGGCAAGAAACCTGGTGTGGAGACAGGAGCAGCAGGGAAGGGGAACAGCACAGAGCCTCCAGGTCCCCCAACAAGACAGGAGGGCAGCAGGAGCTACACCCATGGGGAGAGGTCACAAAACTGCCCATACGCCACATGTCTCGCATGGTGTCGGGGCCATGCCGCCGCCTTGCCCCACCGTTGGGCACATTGGAGTTCCCAGTGGGTCAGGGGACCCTGCTGTTACTTGAGGGAGTGCCTGCCCAGTCTGGATCCCTTGCTTGTATGTGGGGCAGGGCCCTGCCTCTCCCATCTGTTGTTAATCTAGAGGGGACACTCCTGCATTGAGCCCCCCACCTCACTGTGCGTGACCACCTACCAAGCTCCACATGCCTCCCTGGGGTGCCTCATATCCAGCAGACACCCCCCACCCCTCCCGGAGCACACCTACAAGCCTAGGGCTACCGCATCCACCGGCCAGGGGCTCTGGTCCATCTTCTACTAGGCCTGTGGGGCACAGGGCAGATGTAGAAGGTGCTTAACCCTCTGTGAAAACTGGGGATGCTTTCCTTAGCCTGAAACACCAGAAAGTAGCCTCCCTTGGTGGGCTGACTAAGGCATAACCCAGTCCCTCTCCCAGTCAGTCTAGCACGCTAGGAACAGTGGAGAGCTTTATTGGTTAAAGAGGGAAGACTTGGGGAAGGGTACAGGTTAGATAAAAAGCAAAGAACCACCATAGAGCAAACAGTGGGGCTAAGTAGCTGTTGAGCATGCATCTATATCACAGTAAACTATATGTCTAGGTGGGTTTCAGTTAAGTTACCCACAAGGATCACCCAGAGGCTGATTGGGCTTTCCTCTGGAGGCAGGCAGTTCATGGAGTCAGCCAGTTTCCGGAGCGATCCCCACCTCTCTCTGCCTGCTTAGTTACCAGCATGTTCCTCTCCTCCAAGAAGGGGCTCTTAAATAAACTTTCCTGACCACACCCTCCAGGTCCAATCAGGGCTAGTGTAGTTTGAGGCTAACCAACCAATTTAAAAAGCATCACTGGCCTACTCAGAGATGGACATCTCTGGGGCCACTACCCCTTTGCCACGAGGTCAGGTCACTAGGCAGAGCTGGTTGCTTGGCAACCGGAATGATAGACGGGTAATAAGCCTGATAGAGTTTGGGAGATACTGCGATGGCATTGTCACACTTCCTCCCCTCTCTCCCCACCTCCTCCTTTGGAAGCTGGGGCACATGGCTTCTCAGAGCCGTGGGTACAAGTACGGTTTGTCTGAAAGGGTTACCTTTCATACCCAAAGAGAACTCACGCAACACGTAAGACCAGTTATAACAACAATACACATATGACATTAAGGTATGTCGGGGTATCCCCGTGCCAGAGCACTCTGGGGTAGGCCTGAGTCCCTCTGACCTGTTACCCAGAGTCTCCTTGTGACAGAGGATCCACTCCCCGGTGGCTTTCCTTGATGTGGTCCGTGGTTTTCTGGACGTTCTGCTCAGTTGCCACTTGCAGGCGCTCCCCGAAGAAGCTGTCCAGTTTGCACCGGTCGGCTCACAACTGCTGCAGCACTTGGGCCTCTAGCTCCTCCTGCAACTTTTAGATTTGCTGCCTCAGGGTGTCCCCCTCTGCCCTGTGGGCTGTGGACTGCTGGTGCGGCTCCTCCTGGTGCCAGTTTGGTACCCGCAGCAGGTGTTTCCTCACCTGCTGGGTCTCATCTTCCTGCTCCTGGAGCATCTGGCAACCAACAGGGGGTTGGTCCTGGTGCTCCTGTCCGAACTTTCCCCCATGGAGGTGGTTCTCAACTCCTCCCCGAGAGTCTCGGTTTCCTCTGCCACTGTCTAACAGGGCTCCTCCCTGGGGCAGTTCCTTGGCCTGATCTCAAAGCTATCACTTTTCTTAGCGGCCAGCTGGCTGTCACAGTTAGGGGAATTCTCTTCCTTCCTCCCTCCTGCCTCCACAGCCACCTGAGTTACCTTACTCTGGGTGGTTTCCCTACCTCCCACCTTCACCTTCCTGCTCTGTTGGCAAGTCACCACATTAATGCAGTAGGGTACTTCAAAGCTGTCCTGTGCCCCTTTCAGATATGCAAGCTCCATAACATCCCTCCTTACTAGTATGGGGACAGGGGCCTCTTCCAACACTCCAATGTCCGCTCAAGGGGGAGATGGGCAACCAGTACCTCGAATGGCCAGCACCCCACCCCTGCTATGGTAAGTTTTCCCCGGGAATATATCCCAAGGTGAAACGAGGTTAGCATTTATGAATGACACACTGGCCCCTGCGTCCAGTCCCCCAACGAGGGTTTTCCATCTAATTTTTATGTCAGTCCGGTGGGTAGCCATCACCTCCTCTGAGTTTGTAATCCTGTAGCACCAGGTACGCTCCTCAGCGTGGCTCTGGTCTCCCTCCTCACTGCTTACAGCTGGTGCCTGGCAGATAAAGTTAGTGGCATTGCTTGAAGTGGCCAACCTCCCTGCAATTAAAGAAACCCTTCTTTTTCAAATCGGGTGACTTGACTGAATCTGGGGCCACCCTATGCTCAGCAGGAGGCAGCCCACTTCCCTGTTTGGGGACTGGCCGTCCCCTTCCCCGCTTTGGGGAACCCTTTCTGTTCCTTCCCAACGTGGGGGGCCTTTGGTTCAGATCCTCTGTTTAGCAACGTCTGCTGAGCAATGTTAACAGCTTCCCTAGTGTTTTTGGGATTCCTGGCCCTGACTGGGTGTTTAATCTCTCTGGGGCACCTGAAATAATCTCACAGGGAACCTGGCCCTGCCGTGAGGCCAGGTCACTAGGCAGAGCTGGTTTCTTGGCAACTGGAGCAATAGACAGGTAATAAGCCTGACAGCAGTTTGGGGAGATACTGTGGTGGCATTTTATCACAGATGTTGCCCCCAAAGGGAGGTCTGGGGTGAGGGGCTGAGGCCCATTTAACTCCAGCATCAGAGTCTCAGGCCCTGAGCCTGGGCTGCAGGACAGGTCCCCACCAGGTGCCTCCTATCCCTGCAGGGGCAGTAGCTGCCATGTAGAGCAGGTGCATGAGCCAGCGACACAGCTGCCACCAGGCTCAGGCCTGGGACGGGACCATTTGCAGAGGGAAGACAGACCTGCTGCCAGCAGTGCAGCCCCAGCCTGTGAGCAGGGCCTACTGCTTGCTCTCAGTGGTGCTGGCCCAGGGGTGCAGCCAGGATACTCCAGCATTTCAAGGCACCTGCAGGCCTACCCTCCTTGCTTACCAGGACAGATGAGTGCTCCAGGTAGGCACAAGGCACCTGGCCCAGCACCAAGACACCTGGGCATAGTTCCTGCCATGAGCCACAACCCCTTGAACAGCACATGACAGCAGCCCAGCTCCTCCCCAGGGGCTGGCCACCTCCTTTATCTGGGCCCAGAGGATAAGGGGGATGGAAACACAGTAGGGCTGCTGCCACTTAAGATAACCAGCTTGCTGGAGGCTCCTTGCGTTTCAGCCGTCTTGCCTGGAGTCTGAGCCAGCAAATGCTGCCTGGGAGCTGCAGCCCCAGACTTCACAGGGGAAGAGGGCAAGAAACCTGGTGTGGAGACAGGAGCAGCAGGGAAGGGGAACAGCACAGAGCCTCCAGGTCCCCCAACAAGACAGGAGGGCAGCAGGAGCTACACCCATGGGGAGAGGTCACAAAACTGCCCATACGCCACCCTTGCTGGACCTAAGACTGCCTGGGGGGCAGATGGGGAATTCTACTTCCTGTCACCAACTTGTCCTCCCTTGAGAGACCAGCCTGCCCCAGGCACTGGCCCACACTCCCATCCCCTGCCCAGGGTCTACCTTGGGCAGCAGCTTCCAGCCCTGGGCCATGAGGCAGGGGTCAAACATACAAGGCTGGAAGGGATGGAGAACTTCACTCATGCCTGAAATACAGTCCGTGCTACAGGCCTCTGTGCTGCCTCCTCTCAAGCTGGTGCCAGTGCCCATTCCCAAACCCCCCTGCCCCCACAAGTGTACCCCACCTGTTAACACCTTAGTTGCTGCTGCCAACCTCAGGAGAGGGTCCCACCGCCATTGCACACAGCCAAGGACAGTCAAACTGCTTGCAGGGAGCTGCTCCCAGTGCTTGGCTGCAGCCAAGACGCAAGGAGCACTCACAGCTCCTTTGGCCTCCATCGACCCCCAGGAGCACAGGACTCCACCACTGATGAGGATAGGCTGTTCCTGACGGAGCGGAGAGGAGGGCTGGAAGCCCCCCCTACCCACCACAGAAACTCCCTTGCTTCCATACAGCAGGTTGACACCAGACTTTGCCATGCCGGTCATCACTGGGGCGGGCACATGTCTTGCCCTCGTGGCTGCCCTCAGCAAAACCCAGCCCAGCACATCACGCAGCCCAGCACAATAATGACTGCGGCAGCCCGGGCTCTTCAAATTACCAAACTGTAATGGTCTCCAGAGATCCCTTCCCGCACAGCCTGACACTGGAACAAACAAAGCAGTGTACATGAAATAAGAAAATAAATTAAATCCATAGCATAGGTAAGGAGATGCTCTAGACCAGAGCAGAGCGGGAAGTGGCCAGCGATACAAGAGGCTCAGAGTTTGTTTTAATAAGAATGCTGCTAGCGAGGGTCCAGCGAGTGTTTCGGGTCAGTCCAACTGCACACACGGCTCGTTCCTTAGAGTTTATCGCAGCCGCTATTGTCCTGCAACAGGCAGAGCCATCCCATCCCAGGAGAAAGCCAGAGGCATTGGCAGATCCAAGTACAGCATTCCAAGATCGAGTGGTCCGGTGATGCCTGAGTGGCTGACACGCTAGCCATCCTCCTTGGGTGGTGTGTACCAGCCTGCAACAAGAGCATGGTGAGGTGAGACCGGTCCTGCTGCAACTACAACACTACCACAACCTGCGCGTGCACTTGAGCTTGGCCTCATGCCTCCGGGCCACAGGAGTCTGGGCCTGCAGCTCACAGCAGCTCCAAGCCCTGGTGGCTGGTGAGGCTGTGCGTAGGCTGCTGTGCTTAGGGTGCTTTTCCTATGGCCTTGGCAAGAGGCTCTACTTTTAGTGTGACCTCTACGTCTCAATGGTGACCATGCCTCATACAGGCTGGGGGAGATGCTGGACCCCTGCCAAAAGGCATATGCAAGCCGCACCTGGAGTGTCGGGGCTCAGAAGCCAAGCCCAGTAGTGCGATGCCTGCCTCAGCTGACCTGGGCACCATGTCATCCCCTCTGCTCTGCACTTGCCCAGTGACTGACTCAGTGAGGCAGCCCCCCAGCAAGCCACACTGCACCAGGGACAGGGGTTCTTGGGGGTCCCCAGAGCAATTCAACAGTCAGACACCCTGATGCACCCAGTGTCACCCCACTGCAGCCAAGGGATGTTGCCTAGAGGAGATGTTCAGCCAGGGCAGTAAGACCCACCCCTACAAGGTTCCTGTTACGACAGAACTTACCGTTCTTCTCATGGATCTGTACCAGGGACTTGTAGGACTGCTGTGCTCTGGTCAGGCTGTACTGATTCTGCCAGAGAAGCCAGAGGGGTCAACAGATCAATTCAAATCCCTGTAGATCTCAAGCTAGTGTTACCCAACCCTCAAGCACTTCACCGCCCGGGACATCACTGGATACTGCCTCAAGCACTGCCCACTGTAGCGGGCAGTCTCCCACAGCGTGCAGGCCTGGCCAGCTGGTCATCTTGCACTGCAGGGTCTCACAGGCAGGCCGGGACAAGTGCAAAGCCCTGCTTACAGCCCTGCTGTTCTGTGAGCCCACACAGAGATACTGCAGCCTCCCAGGTTCTCTGACAGACTGGCTCCATGGCACTGTTCTCTGGTGCTAGCCCATTAGAGGGTGTTCACAGTCTCCTGCTCCAAGTACCTGGGAGCCTTGGCCAAGGGCCCCAAAAACAGCCTGAAAGCTGGGGCTGTGGTGGGCTCCTCCCCCAGCTGCTCCATGCCAGTCCTACCTTATTGGCTCCAAACTGCACACGTGCCTTTCCTTTCACCAGTGTGGCACTGATCTGCATGATCACCGACTCAATGGAGTAGGCGCTGCTCCAGCCCTACAAAGCCAGAAGAATACAATGAGGGGGTAGTCAGGGCCTGTGCTTGATGGCACCCACCCAGCCTTGGCTTACGGGGGGGGGAAGAAGACGACAACACGGACGGACGGACACGGACCAGACAGTCCCTCCACTGTGCTCTGCTCAGGCAGAAAGCCCCAGCCCGTGCCCACCTGGGACACCACCACTGCCCTGAGCAGCCACTTACAGCCTCCACAGGCTGCCAGCCCCACCTTACACGAGGTCACACATTCTCAACCCTCTTCCCAACGCTGAGTTGAGTAGGTGTGGGCAGGAAGGGGTTGATGGGACACTTGGCCTCAAAGGGGCAGGGCACAGGGTTTGTTCTGTTGCCATAATTTTGGTGCCCTTCCAGCAGTCACTTCCTGCCCCTGGGGAAGCAACACTGAGGGCATCATTTCCACCACCCAACTCCCATGTGTCCAGCTCTGCCATTGGCAGCAGCATGTTCCCTTAACTTGTTCTGTTCTTATTAAAAAGCAACCACCACTGCCCCGCCAGCCAAAGGAGCAGGCTGCACAGAGTGCAGGGCAAGGCTTGGCCGTCAGCTACAGCTTCTGGTAGGACTTCCAGGTGCCCAGCACTTGGCATCCAGGGTATCCGAGTGTCAGCATGGCCCCCACCTGGAGCCTGCCCAGCTGCTCACCTGTTTGGTCAGCAGCTCCATGCAGATGGCACCTCCACCCAGAACATACCTGCAGGGCAGAAACCGAGTCAGAGGCCTGGGATGTTCTGTGGCCCCAGCCAGCACCACTGTGGGTTTGCAGAAGCATTGTCTGCTTGTGATGGAAGATACCTGCCAAGCAGGTCCATGCCCCCTCCCACCACCCTGCCCTTTTGCCCCAAGCCGTACACTTCTGTACCCGCCTCCCCCACCACCACCCGCGTCTTTCACAAAGACGAGTGAACACTTCCAAGGGAGAAGAGCCATTCTGCAGTAGCCCAGGGTGAGACAGCTGCCTCAGACACTCCCTGCCGACATGGACAGGTGAGGTGTTGACTCTCCAGCCAGGGAAACCCAGAGAAACCAGCATCCTCCCAGCAAATCCCAGCATCCTCCCAGGGATCTATTTAGGTCCCTTCTGACCCCTAACTACTATGAAACTATGAAATCAGAGACCCAAGACTGTCCCTGCAGCAGCTCCCAAGACCCATGGGAGTGCAGCACCCAGAGCAGTATGGCGCAGTCACTCACCCCCCTGAGAGCACAGGGGACACGACCCTCACAAACGGCGGGTCAAAGGGAAAGTTGTCCTGAAAGAAAGACAAAGCCATTCAGAAGTGCTGGTCCCAGCTGCTAGCCCGAAGCAGGTGCTAGGCAGAGTGGGGCAGGACTCACTTTAAAGGAGAAGTTGAGCAGGATGAAGTCAGTTCCTTCCTTCTCTTTGAGGATCTGGAGATCATTGTGCAAAGCGCTGTCCTCGTCAACCCTGCGAGGGAAGCCCCCACCCCGTCAAATGGGGAAAGCTGTGCCAGGGCACCAGCCTCTAAAAGGAGCCCAGAGCACCGACAGCCCGCCTAGCCCAGCCCTGCGCCCCGGGAGAGCAGGCCTGCAGCGTCCTTGCCAAAAGAAGGGAGGAAATGGCCATCACTCAGCAAGAAACAGCGCTGCCAGTTTCCAAAGGAAAAAGGTGGGTTGGGGATATCAGGGCAACTGCACCAGGCCACTTACTTCAGGAGTTTGACGTTCCAATCGTACAGGCTGTCGTTCACGAGTTCCACTGCATAGTTCCCTGTGGAGGATGCGCAATGGGTCAGAGCTGTGGCCGGAGGCAGCTGAACTGTCCAGAGAGGAGCAGCGCTCGGTGCTACAAGTTGCCCCCAGCCGGACACATCAGCCCAGTGCGGCAGCTGCTCCAAGCCACACAGGCACTTGTCCCACCTACTATGCCCAGCATCCAGAAACAAGATGGCCCTGGGACCCACCCCACCCAGGACCAGGGGCACTCAGCCAGCAGCACAGGGAACAGCCGTCTCCAAAAGCCCTCCCCTCCCCCTCCCCCAGCAGTGTTGTCCTCTGCTCCAGTGGTGGCAGTGAGCAGGCACCTCTGGATCCAGCTCTGCCCAATCTCCTGTGAACCCTGCCCACGCCTTTCTGCTGTGACAGTAAAGGAAGGTGCCTTTTCCCCCAGCTCAGCTCCTAGCACCTGCTAGGCCCCCCAGGGCCCCACAAAAAGCAAGTACATCGCAGTCCACCCCACCCCCAGCCTTGCTTGCCAACTCTCCGCTGTACTCACCGCCCTTGAAACTTGGTGATCGGTAAATATCCCTGAGCTCCTTCATTAGCCGGTCAGTGGCCTGCACAGACCCAGACACTGCACCCTGACAGGGACAGGGAGGGAAAGGCACTGTGACCCCAGTTGCAGGAAGCAAGCCAAGGTTGATCAGAGCACAACATCCTGCAACCCCAGGGGAACTGGCTCCTGCATCCAGCAGAGGAACTGAGGCCTCCTGGCTAAGGGGCAGGGTGACTCCACACCAGCTCAGGGAGAACAAGTCCAGGGTAGTGCTAACTTGGACACCCCTGGGGCAGCCTGTGTCCCTGGGAAGGCCCAGTGACTCTGTGCTGGACGTGGCTCTGTGCCCCTGGGAGCTCAGGTCCTCTTGGCTGGGGTCAGAAGCCAACATCCAGCCAGGAGTAGGGCATACACAGCAGTGCTCTAGCCAGTCTTCTCTGCTGTGCCCCAGCTCTGCCCCCCCCTCCGCCCCCCCACTCAGGTCCTCTGCTGGAACCCACATGCTGGCCGTGGCCTGTTGGTGCCTTTGCAGCTTCCCAGGGCAGCAGGCACCAGGCTGGGCACAGACCTTTCAGGGATGGGGTGTGAGGAGCCAGACCACTGATCAGACACAGCAGAAGCAGGTTGCCCTTGTTGGGGTCCCTGGGCCCTCCCCCCCCCGCCCGCCGGCGACACGTACATTTAAGTAATCTTGCCTCTGGTTCTTTTTGATCTTCTCCAGGATGGCCAGGTTCTCCTTGCCGATGCCCTCATCCTCTGTCCTCTTCCCATCGGCCGGCTCCTCCTCCTTCATCTCGTAGTGATCCAAGTCCTCTGTATCCTGGCAAGGGGCAGAAGAGCCTCAGATGGGAGGCCCTGCTCCGCGCCGCGCTGCCCTGCGCAGCTGCAGAGACCAGGCGCAGGCAATTGAAACGAGCCAGGCTGAGACCCGTCCAGGCCGGCAGCTCCCTCAGCTCTGTATCCAGCCCATCCCCGCTCCTGGACTCCATGTGCCTGCCTATGCTCAGCCTTCAGTTCCCAGAACACGCAGGCATCAGG